TATTGGAGTCTTTTGCCCAAAACAGTTGAAAACAAATGTCTATGAAATTTTTTACCTTCCTCCTCTCATTCCTGTTTGTCTGACTGTATGTACCTGCAGTACAACAGCAAAGCTATGATATCTAGAAAACATCAGATCCATCAATTACCTTAAAATCCTGAACATTTACTCCAAAATTAGTGCTTTCTAGCAGGTATGGAATAGCCTTTCTGAGACTGTTAAACTCTCCAACTTCCAGGACAGTTTTAACATTCATTAATATTCCCGTCTCCCCAACAGAAGATCCCTCCGAACTTTGTGAACGCTGCTGACCTCGATGTTCCGGGACACATGATGAAAGACCGATACAAAACCATCCTCCCCAGTCAGTTCCTGTCCGTCTCACCTCAGTAGAAAAGCTCTTGATGTGTTTATTCCCTTTATCACCGCTCGTTATTTGTATGTTTGTCTTTAGACCCTGAGAGCCGAGTGATCCTGAGGAACCCGGACGATGAACCTGGGCCTGATCGCTACATCAACGCCAACTACATCAGGGTAAGAGTCTAACAGTATTTCTTACCAAGTCAACTAACCCCACAGATTTCTGTCACCTCACACTCTAAGTCAGGTGGGCCTTTCCCAGCGACCACATCCGGTCTCTGTAATCTCCTCTTTTGTCTCAGCACAAATGAGCATGTTGTGCTTTTGTGGTTTTAGTTGCTAATTTTAATGGTTTAATGAAAAGTGTGATATATTTTCTGGAACTAATATATTTTTATTTAAATAAAAATTGATAGTATACACTCATCAGCAAACATCTAAGCCACAGGATCACAGGAAAGAAGCTCAAAGGATCTGGACATGTGGTCAAGATGATCTGGTGAAGTTCATTCTGAGCATCAGAATAGGGAAGAAAGGTCATTTAAGTGAATTTGAATATGGCAGCTATTTCAGGAACTGCTGAGAAATACTGGGATTTTCACACACAGAGTAAAAAAAAGTCATAAAAAGAGAAAACATCCAGTGAGTGGAAGTTCTCAGGGTGAAAGGTGAATGACCGGACTGGTTTGAGCTGATAGGAAGGCAACAGTAACTCAAATAACCACGTTTCAGCCAAGGTACGCAGAAGAGCATCTGTTAATGCACAACATGTGGAAACCTGAAGCAGGTGGGCTACAGCAGCAGAAGACCACATTAAGTATTCTGGAAAACAGAAGGTTGCCTGGTCTAATAAGACCGCCGACATGTTTTCTGCTGCAACATTGCAGATGGTCAGACTTTGGCATAAAGAACATAAACATAAACATATTGTTGCTGACTATGTCCATCCTTTCCGTCTTCCGATGGCTGCTTCCTAGGAAATTTCCATGTCTTATTTCCAGTGTTCCTAAAAACAGAAAAAAAGGCAGAAAGTGACGGTTAAGAGCTTTTTAATTCAGGCTCATGGTGGTTTAAAAAGACGTGTCAGAGGTCCTTATCACACTGATCCTTGCCGTACCGCAGCAGAGAGAAACTGAATCCTGGACATTAACCTAACTCTAAAATTGTGCTGGGATGATTAGGAGCTTTTAAAGGCTTGCACTGTCAGAGTCTGGGCTGTCATCTTCTATGAGTGTATATTTATTATCTATACTTATAAATATACTGCAGATAAAGTTGTTTGAAAATAGCTACTGTCATTGAGATCTCAGGTTCAGTAACAATGTGTTTTCTTTCATTTGAGCCGTTTCATTTTATTCCTCAGTCCTGGATTAAATGAGTCAAGTGACAGAAAAGAAAATATGTTTCCTTCAGGGTTTTATTAAAAAGAAAACAAGCTGATAGAGTGTGTGACAGCGTTGTCACTCTGCGTGGGTGTCTTCTCGTTTGTGTGTGTGTGTGTGTGTGTGTGTTGGACAGCTAAACAAACAGAACATCAGATATGAGCCGTCGGTTTGTCAGCGTGGGAGTTTGCAACCAGGAAAACCACAGGAAGTGAGGGAGGAAGTGACATGTCCCCGACTCCCCCTCCCCCTGTCTTCCCTTACGGCCCACGCATCCCTCACACTGTGCAGCCTCAGCTCAATTTGTGTGTGTTTGTGGAGTGTGCGCCTGTGTTGTTAATCACAAGCTTTTTGACAGTTTTCGTAAAGCACCTGCTGCCTCTGCTGATGTGCAACAACAAGTAAAAAGTAGCATTCATTCATCTGCCCGTTCAGTTAAACTCCTGTAATATTTGGTGGCGTGCTGGTTGGACACTTGACAGTTGTTATTGAATCTGAATCATTCACTTCCTGCCCTGTGAGGCCAGGGTGGTTTTAGACGTCTAGGGGATATGATGAATGTGTGTGACAAAAACAACGTGACATTTCTTAATCTGCATTTGCATCCATTTATACCAACCTGAGAAATGAAACAACACGAAGAAAACGGTCAGAGTGCATCCAGCTCTGCTGGAAAATACCTCATCGTTGATTTGTGCAAGCCTAGATACAGGACATAATGAAACTTTAAAAGCAAAAAAGGTTTATTGCAAACAAATGAACAAAGAATATACCAAGCACTTCCAGACCAGCTCCCTCTCCAACCTGCAGCAGCAGCAGGTCTGCTGGTCTGGAAACGCCCGGTCCACAAGTCAGCAAATGTGCTTGTCAGTCACCTGATCAGAGCTGAGATGGAAACAGAGAACACTAAAATAGAAATTAGGATGTAAAACATGCTTTAAACTGTGGCATGAAGGCTGGGTGAACTGTGCTTTGTCTCAAAGACACAACTGCTGCAGCTACGATGCTGCAAAGGTGTCCCCTAAATGTCTCTACCACAAGTACAGAACTCTGTGGACTTTCTCTTTATTTTATTTGACAACTAAAGTCTCCGTTTCCTCCAAAATATCATTAAATGTTTCCTTCCTATACCTAAATTTTGGTATTGACCTCAGAGTAAAGCATTATACTGTGAGAAAGTTTACTGACTGATTGTTGTGAGATTTGATGCTCTTTATGTGGCAGGGCTACAAAGGGGCTCCCAGGGCCTACATCGCTACCCAGGGGCCCATGGTGCACACCGTGGGAGACTTCTGGGACATGGTGTGGCAGGAGAGGAGCAGTATCATCGTCATGGTTACGAGGCTGAAGGAGAACAACGAGGTGAGGAGACACAAGTGTTGTTTCCCTGTGTCCATTTCATCCTTTTGTGTAATAGCTGTGCTGCACCGCAAATTTGTGGAAAAACAAACTGAAGTCGTGACATTATGCAGCGACACACCCTCCTCTGCACTGCTGTCGCTCTTGAGACTTTGTGTTGTGTCAAAACTTCAACCTGAACTTTATTTTGGGGGAGCAGGATGACCTCACAGGGCACCAAATCTGTCAGGTAGCCTGAGTGATGAGCAGCCAAGATTGTTGTGGACTGTCAGTACACTGGGAGCCGTCGTATTCAAGTTGCACAGCAGCGCCTTTCCACCAATGTTCAGATTGATTAAAGTGACAACGTTAAATTAGAAGTCGCAGCTGAATTCGCTGTTGCACAACAACACAGATATCGCACAAAATAAAACCACAGTTCTAGTCGTGCATGTTTACTCACGCAGCTTCCTCTGTATTAAGAAATTCTGCGTGGGTGATTGGCAGGCCAGCTTTCATCAGTAAGCATGATGTTGGGGTTTTGCTGTTGTGACAGATGATTGCAGAATTCAGTGTTGACAGTGTTGAGTGTGTAGTCCATTAAAGAAAACTGCTTTTTATTATTATTAAATATATTTATGTTGTATATTTTCTACTCCATTTAACGTGACTTTATTCTTGTATTCTACTGTGCATTGAGCTGTGCATTCATGCTACATCCATCTGATTATGGATCTGAACACTTGGCTGTTTGTCTGTTTGAAGAAATGTGAGGTGTACTGGCCACAGCCGAGAGACAGGACGAAGAGGGTGAAGGAGGAGGACGAAGACACGGAGGAGAAGGACGGGCAGAGGGAGAAGGAAAATGAAGAGGAAGGAGAGACGAGACGAATCGGCAGATTCCTTATCAAAGTGAAAGACAGCCGAGAGAAAGACGGATTCACGGTCACAGACATGGAGATTCAGGTACAGTCGCAGATTTCACCTCCATGAGCCAGAGGAAGCCATGTGTTAAATGTTTGTCATTTCTGAAGATCACTGTCTAAATGGATGACTGACGTTACTGCAGTCCTGCTCTACAAAGCTGCACTGCTTAAATGCTTTGTGGTTAAACAAAGATGGACCGATTAGACGTCTACAGAGGTGTTTGGGGTTTTTTCTGGTGAAACCACTCTGATTACAGACTTATGAGATATTTCTTAGGCTTTTATCAGCTTCTTAAAGCTTCTAGAAGATGTTATTAGATTTGTACATTCATAGCA